GGCCCAGCACTGGGATTTAGGCATCTTGCTTTTTCCCTTAGGAGGCCCAAAGACTTACAGTTTTGATCTAAACACCTGACTGGGCCCTTGAGCCCAGGGCAATTTTACTATACTGTTGAAATGTTCTCTGAAAGGTACACCCCACAGATAACTTCCACAGGCGTAAGCAATTTAGCAGGTAATTGTTCCAGAACTAGAATTTAGGTTCCACAAGTCAGTGAATACAGTCTTCATATCTGGCCTGGCTGCAGAGTGTGTGGAAGGATGGGCAGCACATCAAAATGGCAAGAAAACCTGGAAAATGACAACGCTGCTGCTTTTGGATCTTTTAAAGCCAATCTCTAGGGTTTTAGATGCCTTTTTTGGTGTTCTAGGGACCTCTGTGCGGGGTTAAGAACTGAGAATGTAAACCAAAGGAAACCTAGAGCTAATGATTAAACAACTGGTTGCTGGAGGAACAGAAGCAATGCATGTCTACCTTTTAGGTATTAATCGCGCTTTTTTGGCCAAAGGCGCTTTCTTCTCCAGCAGAATCCCCCCTGGTGTGAATTGTGAGTTAATGTGGCTTCCCTGTGAGCTCCCCTTCAAGGGGACCATCTCATTTTCTCAGACAACGAAAGCTCACCAAATCTTCACTATAAATGAAGCTTCCGGGGACTTAGAAAGCTTCATATTGCGGACTCAGCAAAATCATGCGACTGCTAATCTCAGCTCTAGCAGTGTGTCCAAATCCTCACCAAACGGCATTCTTTCCTCTTTTTATTTATTAATTTCTAAGGGGACTAGGAGGACGAACTATTGGATGAATCTGAGGGCAAGGGGTATCATTTTCTCGGATGTTCTGATTAGGCTTCTCACATCCCTGAAAGGTCATCAGCTACGGCGAAAATGTGGTTAAAATGTGAAGCTGCCTTTGTAGAGGCGGAAGTAGAAGGGCTGCTGGACTCCAAATGACAGTCTGCCTAAAATCTCCAGGTTCCCAGGGCCTGGGGTCATCTCAAGTCACCTAATCAACAGACAACAGTAGCTTTTACAGATTGCAGCCAATGCTTCCCAATTTACTACCTGAACATCTCAAATGTCTGCTTTGGGTGACATCTAAAGTGACGTGGAAAACAGCTCTTCCGGGACGGTGATGGCTGTTGCAAGGCTCACCCCAGAAAACAGAGGCTGACCCTGGGGCTGCTTTCCCACCTGCTCCAAGTGAGATGGGTGCCCGGCTGGAGCAAGACTGAGGTCACCAACATCGGCTGCATAGCCTGGAAGCCTTGGGGAAATGGGTTCCATCCCAGCAGGGCTCAGAAGGAATGGCTGTCACCACAGCTGGGCGGCATGACCTGTGTCGCTTCAGGTCTGACCTCTTTTAGAGTTTTAAGAATAAGAACCACAAGAGCCGCTGCATTATATAACCACCATTAGATAATCTCCTCGCCCCAGAGCCTCTTGTGCTAACTTGTCTCCTATTTGTTACAAACATGTGCATTATTTTCTGAAATGCAGAAGGGACCAGGATGAGCCTTGATTATCAATTATAGCTAATCCTCATTTCCCTGAAAGCAAAAATTCAGCCCCCTGTGATGACTTCTCCAGGTATTTCTTCTAATTCTAAATTTCCTGTCATCTAGGCTGGACTTTGAGAACACTTCAGAAGTACTAAAAATCACACAGTTGCGGCAAAGATCGCGCTGTGGTTATTAAGTCCTTTTCGTGAACCAAAGGAATGTGGCTCAGGCTAAGCTGTTTTAAAAAAAGATCAGGTGGGGAGACCAACAGAGGCACTCCTCCAGCACGGGGTGGAAATGACGAGCACGTACAGTAAGTACAACGTGAGATGCACACCCGGGTCCGGTGGGAGACGGACTGCTCCTCTGGTTACACAGGTTCTGGAGGGGAGGGAGGCCTCCAAGGAGCACTGTATGTGGGCAAGAGAAAGGAGGAGGAGGAAGAACGGTTCTGCGTGGATGTTTTTCTCTTCAAAACAAAAGGTGATTTTTTTTTTTTCTTCTAAGCAAGTCTAAGCTTACGTGGACTGACTCCTAACATCAAAACAGAAATTAAGTGTCATGAAGGAACTTGACTGTGTAGCAACACATTTACAAAACTGCTGCAAAAGCCTCCCAGAGGGCAGTGACCCGCTCTGCTCCCCAGAGGCTGCGAGAGGCAAGGCCTGCTGCGCCGCGCCATGCCGAGGGCGGAAATCCTGCAGCGCAGCCACCTTCGAGGGGCTTCCACGGCCTCACAGGGGGTGTTCCTCCCACACTCTTTGATCCCTCCAGATGGCCTCAGCTCAGACTCAGCAGTGCGGGAGCCCTCTCCCCGCAGGGCAGATGGGGCAGCAGACACTTGTAAAAACAAAACCGTCAATTCATTAACTTTTCCATCCTGCCAGGTTTGCTACAAGAAAAATCAAGACTCCTGTTTCATGGGCTGCACCATTCTGGAAGGCTACAAAAAAAATCGAATACAGCTAACCCCTGGTAGCCCTTCTCTCTATCTCTCTCTCTCAGTCACACACACACACACACACACACACACACACACAGTCCTGGTTCAAAAAGATATGGCATGACCTCACGGATGCTTCCCCAGTGGCTGCAAATTGATAAACTAAAAACAAAGTTAATTTTAAAATAGCCAATGCTGACTTTCTCTATCCTGAGTAGGGTGGACTGTGATGGATGGGCTAGTAATAAACCAGAGTCTAGGACAGGCAAATTCACTGTGAGACTTTATATCTGCACTGTACACAAGAACCTGTTTGTGTCAAGCCCGAATAAGGTGAGTACTACTTGCAGAATTCACGGCAAAGCAGTGTCCAAGAAAGACTCTGCGAGTGGGATCATTTTTGTGCTTTCTTCTGTTTTCTCCTTGCTTTCTGTGGAGAGGGGTAACGGCCACTGCAACCAGGGCTCTGAGTAATCTATCACAGAAGGGTATGACTACACACCAGTGAAGACAGCCATGGTGTTAATGGTGCCAGAGACGGAGAAACACCAATTCCTGCTCATCAGGATCCCAGTGCAACAGAAAATAGCACCAGTTTCAGCAATTCTGGTGTTGGACAAAGCCTCTTTTTGTCAGTTAAGAAAGCATCAGCACAATCTCCCCAGTTAACTGCATTAATAGGATCCATTCATGTCACTGAAAAATACTTCTTGGCACAGTTCACTTTCCTGACCCAAAGACGCCAACATCAATCCAAACTGGACTTGGTAGGGTAATGTGTTGTGACACCAGCCCAGTAAAAACATCTTTAGATCATGAAAAAATGCACAAATTACTATTAACACTGCATTTCTCTTTTCAGGAGTCCTGTTTTCCTGCGAAGTACTTTCAATCCATATCATAAAGGTAGAATTTAGTTGGAAGAATGTGTTTTTTGGATTCCACTTAGTGCTTGGTTGAATTTATTACCTTTTCTCCTTTACTTATATGGACAGAAACTCAGACTGCTCTCAATCAGGCAACAAGCAGCAGTATGTTCATTTTTGAGTAGGACATGTGAACAGTGAGTTGGTATTTAGAAGCAAATCCCATGGTGCTGTTTCTGTCCACTGGGACCCTTACTTAGGGACAGAATTCCTTTCCCAGAGGGAGGACAATATCCTAGGCAAACTGTGAGCACTCTTTGTTGATTCTGTGTCTCAAGACTGGGAGAGAAGATACAAACTGAGAGCAGACAGCAAAATTTAAAGTTCACCGAACGATGTCCCCCCAAAATGTTGAACACTGAATGACACAGGCCTACATCTCTTATATATATGTATATATACATCACTTTTAGTGGGAGGGAAGAGCAAAAGCTTTTCAAAGTTTGAGTATTTATTAGAATTTTTAAATAAAGAGAACTACGATTTTAATTTCACATCTTGGCTATGTTTTGACAAAGGAGATGCCACTAAGAGCACAGCAACAAACTCCTGTCCTAAGCCAGGGATTGACCAGTGTCCCCCCTCCTAGACCCACCCCTCGATCTCAAGACCCTTTTCTGCTTACTTCCCAACTAAACAACACAACTGGCAAATGAAGCCAGCAAGAAGCCTGTATCAAAAACCAACACGACAGTTTGCAGTCAGCCAATGCATGATGTTGCTGTTCTAGTCAAGGATCGAGCATTCTCCCATACCACTTCTCAGCAGAAGATGGACCTTTTGCATCTCAGCAGGAGGCAAATTTACTATTTCTGGGCATGCTCCATGGTGCAATTCCAAATGCTGTCACACTGCAAAGATAAGCAGACACCTGAATTTTCCTCCTGTGTACTTTCTGGGAACTTAACATGGTCATCCAGGATGAGGATGGGGCCATACACCTGCACTGGCCCAGGCCTGCCAGATGCTTCCGCACAAGGACAATGTCCAGTGCAGCGCGGTGTAAGGCATGGATGCACAAGGAGAGAGGCCATTGTCAGCGGTAAGGAGCATTATGGAAAAAATTCCAACCTGCAGGACAGAAACAGTGCTTGATGCTCCAGTTTTTAAGATAGCAATTCCAAGAATCCAGTTCAAATCCCCACTGTCAACACACAGGGAAGAATTCAATTTCTATCATTGTTTCTCCAGGTCTGAGCTGAGGCCATTTGCTCCTGGCTCGGTAATAAAAAAGAAAATAGGTTTCTTCCTGTGTCTTTCTTGGCATGGAAACACAGCTTTGAGAAGGCCATGAGTCCTGGGAGCGCTATGAAGGCAGCTAAACTCTTTCGGTACCCTACATAACTACAGTCAGTGACTGGGTAAAGGGAGAGGACCGGGAAACTTACCTAGCCACTAGCATCAAAAAACAAAAAGGGAAATTAAGTGCGAGGCTCTCCATTTCAGAAACACCCCAATTTAAAAAACAAAACCAAACCTTGGAAAATTAAACAGTTAAATTCCTCTTCTAAAAGTCATTTATTTACATATTATATGCCCAGTATATAATGTGTAGATAAATGTATCCTGCAGTGGAAGTGACCAACCTCCTGGACTGAATAGCGCATTATAGGACAAATTCTTGAAAGGTTTCATCTCATATTGGTATCTTTTAATAAAAAAAAAAAAATTAAAAATCAAAGAAAAAACGTCTGGCCAGGGCTGGGGTGAGACAAACAGGAACACTTCAGAATCCAAGGCAGAGGGCAGGCTGTCTGTCTCTCTAGACAATTGTAGGGGTGTGAAAAGGGAGGGACCGATCATGCACAAAAGTACTTACAAATTACATACCCACCCCCCACCCCCTCCATAAAAAGAGAAGAAAAAGCCCATCACTTAACACCAAACAGCAACACCATCAAGAACCCCTTTCTCTGCTGTCCATCATGCCTTATTTGGAGAGGAGGCCTGTGAGGAGAGGTGAAAAGAGCAAGGGAGGGAAGATCTGCACTCCAGTCTAGTTTCCAATTTCCATTCCTCTTACGCGAAGTCTTCAGTCATCTGATGCCTGGCATCGAGCTCTGGGAAGAAACCGAGTACGTGGTGGCCACGACTGGGGTGCCATTGTTGGCTGAGTAGCCTTGCCTCAATGTTTCAAAATACGATGCCTGCACCGGTTTGTGATACTGCAGCACTTTTATGGCATCTTCTATTTTAAACCATTCCCTCTTCCTTCCTGTGGGGGCAGAGAGAAGAAGAAATGAGGACAAAAGGGAAGCAGCTGCAGGTTTCTGATCTTCAGCTTGGGAGAAAGGGTTGATGAAAACAGAAAAGCAATCATTATCAAGACTTTAAAACCATGCATCATAAAGGTATTTTTCCTCACTTTCTTTCCTTACAAGAGTATATGCTTCAAATGCCATACAGATGCCCGATGCAGAAGACAGGGAAGACATCTGAGAAGTGAATTGCGTGAAACCCGCCCTCCAGAAAGAACCAGTGCTCCTGATCTCCTCTTGCATTCCTGGGCCTCTGGGCCTTGCCCGGCCTGCATGTATACACCTGAAGCCCAGCCAGCACCCCCTCTTCTGCACAAATCAACACGAGCGTCGGCTTCCAGAATTACGACGATGGCTGCTGTATAATCATTTATTTCAGAATTTTAAGAGTTATATATCCACAAACAAAATATTTTTAAAAATAATACTATCCCTATTAACTTCTCAGTCTGTTTTCTTACTTTTTTTTCAATTTTTTAAAAATCCTTTATTTTTTCTCTTATAATAAAAGATCATTGCTTAACATTAGGAAAATGGAAGAAAGTATAAAGAATATAATTACCCACAACATAAGAAACCAGAAATGACTACTCTCAATACCTTCATGTCTTTGCTTTCTCTTCACCACATCTAAAAAGACACTGTACTGAACAACTATCACTGGGATCATGCTTTCGGATGCTCTGAATCCTCAGAAGCTCTAATAAGAGTGTTGTGGTTAGAAACCCAGATGCTGGAGCTAACATGCTAGGCTCCAATCTCATCACTGGCTCTAATGAACGGTCAGTTTGGGGCAGGTTACTAACTAGGTACTGAGCTGTGCCCCATCTTCCTCATCTCTGGAGATAATAAATAGTACCTATCTCACAAGTCTGCTATGAGGATTAATATGTAAGATATTTGAATGATACCTGGCACATAGTACATGCTGTAAGAGTTTGCTTATTAGTATTATTATTATTGCTTCTTTTTTTACTTCACACTGTTTCTTAAGTGCTTGTCTGTGTTATAAAAAAATATGCAGGGTGCTTGGATGGCTCAGGCGGTAGAGAGTCTGAATCTTGATTTTAGCTCAGGTCACGATTTCAGGGTTGTGAGATTGCACTCTGCGTCCGGGCTCTGTGCTGGGCATGGAGCCTGCTTAGGATTTTCTTTCCTCCCTTCTCCCCCACACCCCCAGCACTTTTGCTCTTCAAAAAAAAAAACCCAAAAAAAACCAACCAAAAACCTCTAACTGTCTTATTCTTTCTTTTAACCTCCCAGAAGAGACCTAGAACTGAGATTATAGGAATAAAACATTTGAACTCTAAGGGCCTCGTGTTATATAAGGCCAAACTGCTTTTCAGAAGGGCCATCCCGTCCTGCTTGTGTGTGCTGGAATGTCGTTCTCACTACCCTCCCCGTAGCACTGCTACCTTTTCCTCTGTCATTGCCAATTCTTTAGGTAAAAACGAGTACCTCATTTTTGTTTTCATTTCAAATTCCTATTTTAATGTCGCTCTAACTGTACATGTAAGTCTGTACCCTAATTCTTTTCATTCACCAACACCGATTCACAAGCCCTTTGCCATGCTATATTAGCTTTCAGAAGTCCGTGTTTAACAGCTGTGCAACGTTCCGTCAGATGCATGTACCTCAGATCACTTATCCTTCACTGAGGCATACGTTTAAAAGCCAATTTCCACCTGAAAAAGGCTCATCTGAAGGAAGGCTCATAGGCTTAGTCTCCGTATTTTAGATTATTTCAATATTTCAATTCTCGGAAGTAGTAGAAGGTGAAAGGCTTGTTGGATATTAATAGAGCAATGGTACCTTGAAAATTCGTATCACAAGTGTGTGACTCCCGCCTGACAAGAGTGCTCTGAGGACAGGGCCATGCCACACTCATCTCTGTCTCCTTTTTAAGCCCTAGCACTGGCTGTCACGGAGGCTATTTTTAATAAACCCCTACTGAATTTATTTACTTAAGCATATTGCATTCTTACCATATACAAGGCCGTTAAAAGCCGAAGGGCCATGAAATGCCCAGATCAGCAGTGTGAGGGGCATGGTGACAAAGCACATATGCACAATAAAGGGAGACATTTCAGCAACTGGATTTTATCTGTTTGCCGATTTATAACCGGTTTCTAAATTAATATTACACTAGATATTATACACTAATACACTAATACACTATACACTAATATTACACTATATTTCTAGAATATACTTTCCTTCAGAAGCAAAAGATTAAACCATGAACCGACCATTAAATCACCTAAGTTTTTAGTTCCAAAGACACACACCCAACAGTGATCTGAGAGATCAAAGAGAATGGCTCCTCAGGAGAAAGGGAGGGGCACCCGAAGGGGAGTATGGATGAAACTGGAAACTGCTCCCACTACTCTGGAGGGAGCGGCTCACCCCACCAAATCAGCAGCTTTCTCCAACAATATGAATAAGCATCACAAGGAACAGCCAAGGTCCTGCTCCCAGCTGGGGTTTTGTGGCCATTGTGGAGGAGGGGCAGTATCTGCTGTGGAGGGTCCAATTCGGCTTCAGAAACCACCTTTCTTATTTTTATCTGCATGTTTCTATTTGTTGACCAGGTATCCACCTTCAGCTTCCTTTTGAACATTTCAAAACACTACCTTCAGAAGTTCAAAATGGGCATGCTTGTCTCATTAAACATACCCTTCTATGGTTTCTTTCATCAGGCTCGTTTCTAGGTCTGGGTCATGACCTGTGGCATGGCAAGGGCCCGTGGTGGGGAGCATTTTGGAGGCTATCTGGGGACAACTTACCAATGTTAACTGAATCTTCCCAGTCTTCCAGGACTTCTGTGACAATGAGCACATAGACATACGTTCTGTGCTTCCTCTCCTGGTTCTGAAGGGCAAAGAGAGAAGGACAGAGGAAGAGCTTTCCCTTAAAGAGCTGAGATTACTTGAGTGAAACACACTCTTAGCCATATGTCCTGAGAGCTCAGACACAAGCATTCCTTTTACTTTCAATCATCCTACAATCATACATGGAGTAGTGCCAGATGGCCTATTTAAAACATGCCGCACTTGCATTTAAGGTTGTGCTCTTTGGCTGGCCTTCTAAAGCCCAAGCTTTAATCTCTTTTTTCGTTCCCCCTTCCCTAAGTACAACTTCACAGGAAGGCTGTGAGAAGGAAGTTTGTGACCTCTCAAGAAAAAGGCACCAAGTAAATGTAACTCGCTAGAACACAAGAAAGAGAAGAGGCTGTGGGCGGGTGGAGGTTCCATCAATGCAAGCAAGCTGATTATCGGGTGCATCTCCCCTTCTACTAACTCTGCTCATCTTTATTTCCCCATTTCTCACTTCCTTCCACCTTCCTCCAAACCTCTACCCAGCCTCTATGCTTAACGACTGAGCCACCCAGGCGCCCCTGTTGCTGTTACTATTGTAACTGTTTTAGGGTGCCACAAAGGATGCCCATATAAGACAGCAAACTTAATTAATTCCACTGACCAGCCATTCCCGTCTATCCCTGTCATTCTCCCTATTCCCTGAGACACAACAAAATTAAGATTAGGCCAACGCAGGGCGCCTGTGTAGCTCAGCTGGTTAAGCGTCTGCCTTCGGCTCAGGTTGTAGTCTCAGGGTCCTAGGATCGAGTCCCGCTTTGGGCTCCCTGCTTGGCAGGGAGTCTGCTTCTTCCTCTCCCTCTGCTGCTCCCCCTGCTTGTGCTCCTCCATCTCTCTCTCAACTAAATAAATGAAATCTTAAAAAAAAACTTAAAAAAAAAGATTAGGCCAATTAATAACCCTACAGTGGCCTCTAAATGTTCAAGTGAGGGAAAGAGTTGCATTATCTCCTCCTACTCTCCCTTTAAATCAAAAGCTAGCAATGATTAAGCTTAGTGAGGAAGGCATGCTGAAAGCCAAGACAGGTTGAAAGCTAGGCTGCTTGCGCCAGTTAGCCAATTTGTGAATGCAAAGGAAAAGTTCTTGAGGGCGCCTGGGTGGCTCAGTCGTTAAGCGTCTGCCTTTGGCTCAGGTCATGGTCCCAGGGTCCTGGGATCGAGTCCCACATCGGGCTCCCTGCTCAGCGGAAAGCCTGCCTCTCCCTCTCCCACTCCCCCTGCTTGTGTTCCTGCTCTCGCTGTGTCTCTCTGTCAAATAAATAAATAAAATCTTTAAAAAAAAAAAAAAAGAAAAGTTCTTGAAGGCAATTCAAAGTTCTACTCCAGTGAACGCATGCATGACAAGAAAGCGAAACAGCCTTACTGCTGATATGGAGAACGTTTGAGTGGTCTGGACAGAAGATCAAGCCAGTCACAACCTTCCCTTAAGCCAAAGCCCGTCCCAGAGCAAGGCCCTCGCTCTCTTCAATTCTATGAAGGCTGAGAGAGGTGGGGAAGCCGCAGGAGAAAAGTGTGAAGTGAGCAGAGGTGGGTTCATGAGGCTTAAGGAAAGAAGCCATCTCCATAACACAAAAGTGCAAGGGGGAGCAGCAGGTGCTGGTGGAGAAGCTGCAGCGAGTTCTCCAGGAGATCTAGCTCAGATCATCTGTGGCGGGGGCTACATGAAACAAAAGATATCCAGTGTAAGATGAAACAGCCTTCTATTGGAAGAAGATGCCATCTAGGACTTTCATAGTTAGAGAGGTTAGTGCCTGGCTTCCAAGCTTCAAAGGACAGAGTGACTCTCTGGTTAGGGGCAGCTGGTGACTTAAAGTTGAAGCCAGTGCTCAATGACCATTCTGAAAATCCTAGGGTCCTCAAGAATAAAGCTAAATTGACTCTGCCTGTGCTCTTATAAATGGAACAAAGCCTGGATGACAGCACATCTGTTTCCAACACAGTTTACTGAATATTTAAAGCCCGCTGTTGAGATCTACTGCTCAGAAGAAAAGATTCCTTTCAAAATATGACTGCTCACTGACAGTGTACCTGGCAAGAGCTCTGATGGAGATGGACAACGAGATGAATGTTTTTATGCTGCTAACACAACACCCATTCCACAGACCATGGATCAAGGAGTCATTCCAACTTGCAAGTCTTACTATTTAAGAAATACACTTCATAAGGCTAGAGCTGCCAGATAGCAATTCCTCTGATGGATCTGGGCAAAGTCAATTGAAAACCTGGAAAGGATTCACCATTCTAGATGCCATTAAGAACAGTGGTGATTCATGGAAAAAGGTAAAAAATAACAACATGAACAGGCGTTTGGAAGAAGTTGACTCCAACCCTCGTAAAGGACTTTGAGGGATTCAAGACTTGAGTGGAGGAAGAAACTACAGATGTGGTAGAAATAGCAAGAGAACTAGAATCAGTGGAGCCTGCAGTCAGTTAAGCACCCAACTCTTGGTTTCGGCTCAGGTCATGATCTCAGGGTTGTGAGATTGAGCCTTGCACCAGGCGCTATGCTCAGCCCAAAGTCTGCTTAAAATTCTCTCCTTCTCTGTCTCTCCCTCCACCTGCCCTGTGCTTGTGCTATGAAAGAAAAGAAAGAAGAGAAGAGAAAAGAGAAGAGAAGAAATGAAAAAGAAAGAAAGAAAAAGAAAGAAAGAAAAAGAAAGAAAAAAAGAAAAGAAAAGAAAAGAAAGATAGAAAGAAAAAGAAGTGGAGCCTGAAGATGGGACTGAATTGCTGTAATCTCATGATAAAACCTGAAGAGATGAGGAGCTGCTTCTTACGGATGAGGACAGAAAGTGGTTTCTTGAGATGAAGTCTACCCCTGGTGAAGATTCTATAAAGACTGTTGAAGTGACAATAGAAGATTTAGAATATTCTATAATCGTAGTTGATAAAGCAGCGGTAGGGTTTGAGAGGATGGACTCCCAATTTTGAAAGAAGTTGTACTGTGGATAAAATGCTATCAAACAACATGGTTTGCTACAGAAAAAACTGTTCATGAAAGGGAGAGTCAATCGGTGCAGCAAACTTCTTATTTTGAGAAATTGCCACAGCCACCCCAATTCTCAGCAACCATGACCCTGAGCAGTCAGCAGCCATCACCATGGAGGCAATACCCTCCCCACCAGCAAAAAGCTCATGATGGTTAGCATTTTTTAGCAATAAAGTATTTTTAAATTAAGGCACAGACATTAATACAGACATCGTAAGTGTATATTCAGAGACTACAATCCAGTATAAATATAACTTTCATATGCACTGGCAAAAATCAAAGAAACATTTGACTTGCTTTATTGCAATATTTGCTCTATTGCGGTGGTCTGGAACTGCACCCACAATATCTCTGAGGTAATGCCTGTACTTACAAATAATTCTATTTGTCTGGAGGAGACTATGGGATTTTAAAAAAGAAAGTAAGCTATTCTCTGCCAGTGCTGCTTTGTTTTGAAAACTCAGCGAAACAAAGATGGCGTCTACCCCAGATTAGGACCGCAATGGACTGAATGTTTATGTCCCCCACAATTCGGATGTTGAAATCCTAACTCCCAGGGGAATAGTATTAGGAGGTGGGGCCTCTGGCAGCTGATTAGGTTGAGAAGGGCTGACTCTTGGGAATGGGGTTGGCAGCTGATAAGAGGCCCCAGTGAGCGACCATCCCCCTTTGCCATGTGAGAACACAGAGAGAAACAGCTACAAGTACCCCCTGCTTTTCAAGAGTTCTAGGTAAGCCACTTCACTTTTACAGAAGACCTACATCAGTACCTGTTTTTGCTAACCGAAAGAAATCCTAAGAGGAATTTGCGTTTCTAAAAAAAAAAGGTGAAAGGAAAAGGAGCATTCGGCCTTTCTGGCGCAGCGAGTGTGGTCCGGCCAGACTCCTTCCCCCGGAACAACACCAGCACTTCCTCATCGAGCCGCCAAAGCCATGAACTGGGGCTCTGCACACCTGTGCTTTAGCTTGACTTATTTTATGCATCCGTTAACAGCATGTATCCTGAGGTATCAGAAAAGCCTCAGAGAGGTTATTTTTTGGTTTTGGAAATGCTAAAAAAAATGTCCATATAAATTAATTGCTTCTTCACTTTCTACCATTTTGACTTACAAAAGGTTTCGTACAAACACTCTACTTTTGGCTAGCAGGAGAAACTTGTAACTATGAACCAGGAAGTTGGTCCTCACCAGACACCGAACAGGCTGGTGCCTTGATCTTGGACTTCCTAGTCCCCAGAACTGTGAGAAATCCATTTCTATTGTTTGTAAGCCACTCAGTTTTGTTATAGCAGCCCGAAAGGACTAAGACAAAGAAATACATATTTATATTACATGGTTACTAATATGGTACCAATTGCACCAAAGATTTTAACAGGCTTACCTCAAAAATTCCAACTAATCTTCCCAATGTCCCTTTTACTCCAGCCTAAAAAGTGAAGAAGAAAAATTAGCACATTAATAGTTTATATTTCTGGTCTCATTATGAATCAAACCCCAAGAGGAACACCTTAGGAGGACTCTAGGTCTAAGGAGGTCACACCAGTATTTCCTGAGTGTCACAGACTGGTAACAGCAGGGTGTGCTCTGGGGAGGGAGGATTTCTCTCATCTCCTCCCCGTCTCTCTCACTCCTGCAATGCCGGCCAAACATAGCAGGTAATCAAGGCCATGAAGCCACACAGAAGATATTTTGAGGTATTAATTACTTCATTCACTCATTCATTCATTCATTCATTCAACAAATACACTGACTGCCTAATATGTGTCAGAGGTATAGTGACGAATAGGCTAGAACACAAGATCCAAGAAAGCAACATGCTTATCTGACTCGTTCTTGGCTGTCTGTATACAGTATGCCCAAAACAGAGCTCAGCACCTTGTAGAAGCAGCTCAGGAAGGCATATGTTAACAAGTACATAAACGTGGTGACAGGTATTGACAGAGATGCACAGAATGATGTGATGGACAGAGAGTGACTGGGAAGAGACAACTTCATACAATGGTTAGACCTTCATGCATATACTCCGTATCTCCCATCGGCCGTTTGTTTGTTTGTTTGTTTGTTTTTTTTTTAGATCTGTGTCTTTCTGATGAATCACAGGCACATTTTTCAGTTTATTCCAACTGATTTTCTTTTCAGCCTACCAAAACTAGGGCTATCCCATCTCTAGTCATTTGACATTTTTTATTTCTACCTGTTCTTCACATATGTTTCCATTATGTATGCCTTGTTTCCATGATTTTTTGTTCTTTTAAATTAAAGGTTATTCCTTCATTTACTTTTGAACATCTTGAACATATTTAAGTTCCTTGTCAGGCCATGCTATAAAATTCATTTCATCTGAAGTAAATTCATGTTCCAATTGGTGAAGGGCTTGCTTGTGAGGCTCCTGCTCCAAGGTGATACAGAGAATACTGCAGGCAGAGCCATGGAACCAGGGGGTGGTTTGGCTCCATCTCTTATTGTGCACTGCATCTGTGCCCTCTCCCTACCTAGGCCCACATCTTTCTAAAAGTCTCAGCCCCTGGTATCCTTCCCGTTGGGAACCTGGGCTCCCGCTACTCCAAGGGTCCAAACACTAGCCACCCAAGGCTGGGCAGGCAGCGGCCTTCCCATGACATTCAGCAGTTCTACCCTGTTTCTGATCTATGGAGATGCCACCCACCTTGCTTTGGGTCACGCTGTGTCTTTTTAGCTTTTGCTTTTTATATTTTATATCTGTCCCTGCTAGAAGTGGGGAGAGGTGAGGGAAGGATGATTTTCTGGAAATGCCTGGGAAATGCTGTAACTTGTTTTCTATTACCACTGCCATGTAATCTGTAATAACTAAATTTGTAATAAACTAAAAATTAAGACAAAAATACTTTCTAGAGACAATAGGTACTCATTAAGTTTGTACAGAATGAACACAATTTTAAAGTAAGTACTCTAAAAGTTCTTTAGAGATATTTAAAATAAAGGTTGATTTATAGGCCTAGACTCCTAGGTGAGCTATATTTTGAAATTAATTTTGGCAATTATCTGTCAAAGAATTCTTTTCCTTTCTCTTGCCAACATGCCTGTTCATTTCCCATCATTCTTTCCCCCATGGGGCTTTTGGGTCTACTCAAATGGAAATGTTTACCTTTTCTTACTTAAACTGATTCTCTATATTTATTTTTTTAAAAGATTTTATTTATTTGACAGAGAGAGACCCAGCGAGAGAAGGAACACAAGCAGGGGGAGGGGGAGTGGGAGAACCAGGCTCCCTGGAGCCTGATGCAGGGCTCGATCCCAGGACCCTGGGATCATGACCTGAGCCGAAGGCAGACGCTTAACGACTGAGCCACCCAGGCGCCCCAACTGATTCTCTATATTTAAAAAAAATTTTTTTGAATTTATTTTTTTTAAGTAATCTCTACACCCAATGTGGGGCTTGAATTCATGACCCCAAGATCAAGAGCCACACAGTCCACTGACCGAGCCAGCCAGGCCCCTAAACTGATTCTCTACATTTTTAGAGATAACTGCACTCCATGGCCAGCTAAGACTAGTTAGATTATACTTGGTGAATTAACCAATGTAGCTGCCTGAACAAGTAGGATGAGCTGGCAGGCCAGTTTGGACTAGAAAACCAATTCTGTACTCTGACCTTGGCAGCCTGAACACTCAGATCAACTCCTGAGATGTGGCACCTGTGCTCCAGCCTGTGGTCCCCACTGACAGGGCCTAGGAGCAGGGCTGTCAGGTTGGTGGGGAGGGAGAGAGGTAAGGAGATTCACAGAGGTTCATAGAGGCTATCATTCACATTTCTCTTCTGCAAAGTAGAGAAAGAGTTCTCTTTAGCACTGTTCAATTAAATTTTTTTTTCCTTAAAGAAACCAAAAGTTTAGAAAAGAAAATGATCTCCAATTTTTTTTTAAAGATTTTATTTATTTACTTGAGAGACAGTGTGTGTACTCATGCGGGCGGGGGGGCGGGGAGGAGCAGGAGGAGAGGGACAAGGGACAAGCAGACTCCGCACTAAGCTCAGAGCTTGACACAGGGCTCGATCTCAGGACCCTGAGATCACAACCTGAGCCAAAATCAAGAGTCAGACGCTTAACTGCCTGAGCCACCCAGGCACCCCAATCTCCAATTTTTAAGGGCGCAATTAACTTAATATTATGACAGCTCAATATAATTTAAAACTTTTGTTTAATAATGGTGTTTTCTGCATTCAACATCAACATATACCTATGATTTACTCTAACAGAGGCAGTTGGGAAAAGTATAAAAGCATTTTTCTTTATAAAATAGATGCATTCTGGGGGCACCTGGGTGGCTCAGTCATTAAGCGTCTGCCTTTGGCTCAGGTCATGATCCCAGAGAAGCCTGCTTCTCCCTCTCCCACTCCCCCTGCTTGTGTTCCCTCTCTTGCTGTGTCTCTCTCTGTCAAATAAATAAATAAAATCTTAAAAAAAAAAATATATATATATATATATATATATAAAATAGATGCATTCTGGGGCGCCGGGGTGGCTCAGTTGGTTGAGCATCTGCTTTCGGCTTGGGTCATGACATGGAGCCCCAGGGCTCCCTGCTCAGCCTGCTGCTCCTTCTGCCCTTCACCCCGCTCACACTCTCTCTCTAGTAAATAAATAAAATCTTCAAAAAATAAAATAGATGCCTTCTTATAAAGTCTTGTGTAATTTAAATAACGCTGCCATCTGTACAAAGAAATTTTAGTGGCATTTATTTTCACTTCTAATTAATCTTCAAGTTGTAGAAATTAACAACAGCTTTATTTGTCTCACTGTCTTAAGTTTTATACCAATATTTAGGGGATCTACTTTAGAGAATTCTATCTAAGGTGATCCTGCCAATGAGCCTATGGTGAAAAGCAAAGAAATATTATTTTGTTTACCAGTTTCTAAATTTCTTAGGAGGACGTGCCTCTTTAGTAAGAGGATTTCAGTTCTTCAAAGTCATAGTGCCGATCAAGAGGAAGATTCCTCAGAGGCAAAGGTCCTCCAAGACAGAGCTCACTGCAACTATTTTACCTTTTCATGCTTCTCCACAGTCCAATTAGCTTTGAGCTAGCTCCCTCTCAACTGCTGCCACAAACAACAGGAGAGAGTTATTTTTATCCCTCACATGATTCTTGCATGTGGGTCAGGGTAGGTGTCAGGGTCACATCAGACAGCTGGCTCAGACATTTTGGGATAAGATTTGATTCAGGGTAAATGGACGTTTGGTCTAGTCAGGGTGCTAGGATGGACCTGTTCTTTTCCAAATCATATAAAGGCAGTTATAATTTCAGTCTATATGTCAAAAACCCCTAATGCAGAGAAGGAGTCTTTATTTAAAAGCCCATCTTAGGTAGTAGTAAGAATTCCAAAAAAAAAATATATATATATATATGTGTGTGTGTGTGTGTGTGTATATATATATGTAATATATATATATATGAATTGCCCTTCATTTGTCAACCACATGCAGGTGAGTGCTTCCTTGACCTTCAAAGTATAATACATCAAAAAAAAAGTACAATACATCAATTCTAGCACTTTCAGACTAGTTAACAAAAATAATTTGAGCAACCGCCTACTTTTCAAAACGAAAAAAACTCACAAATGTCTTTTTTTTCCCTTTGGGGTGTTTTGCTGAGATTGGAAGTACCACCCAGCAAGACTCCGGTGATGCCATCCCTCCTGCTAAGTAAGCTCTCCCGCTATGTACACGAGACTCAGGCAGAGGCATGGACATGGAGGGGCCTTTGAGAATGCCCCTACAATGATGTGCTGCCACGAAGAACCCTGGCTGTGTTGTTTTAGTCTCGGTGGGTACAAAGTGGGTCATCACCTTCTAAAACCTATTTTTTACTCTAAGGTGGACATTTTGGCAGACACTGATGGATGTCTAGCCCATAGGCATATCTCCTTCCACTGTGCTACCAGTAAGACCCAGCTTCTGTCCACGTGAGAGCTATGGCACACCTGGAATGGCGCAGGGAATTCTGTTCCCCTCTGCAGTGACAGGTTCGGGCATGCCGTGACCCAGTTCTGGACCAACGGCTTCTGAGAGGGTGTCTCTTGGGGGCTCATGGGAAAGATTTCCCACCATGATAAAGAGCTGCGTAAAAAGAAACCCTACACCTTGTTGTCAAGTGGGGACCTGAAACTTGGAGCTGCTACAGTCACCTTGTGATCGTAAGGGGAAGGGCAAGAGAATCAATGAGAAGCTGAATCAAAGTCCTGAGGTGGCCGAGCTGCTGAAGCAATGAGGTAATGTCCAACCTCTGGACTTCCTACATGAGACAAAAAACCGGTACAGTTGAAGCCGCTTTTAGTCAGGTACTCTGGTACTGTATCAGAACACTTCCTGCTACTTCCTTTGATTTAGAAGGTAGCTCTAAGAGGATAACAATTCTGAACATCCAAGGCAACTGTAGTGTAAAAGCTTGCT